TTGAAGCCTGTCCTGGCACTAGCTCTGTAGACCAGGCTGGTCTCGAACTCACAGAGATCCGCCTGCCTCTGCCTCCCGAGTGCTGGGATTAAAGGCGTGCGCCACCATCGCCCGGCTAGACTCATTTTTCCTTCTTGATTCTCATTTCGAGTTTATCAGCGAAAATGCTGTGGCCCACTTTTAACTACTGGGTGCAGAAAGTGGATCTTCCATAGTCTGGCTTCCACCTTCATCCTGTTTGTCTTTTGAGAGGCTTGGATCTCCTCACAGTATAAAAGTGAAGTTGGCTGGCTTTGGCAGGGAACTGTACAGGACAGTCCTATACTAAAAAGTATCTCACACTCTGGGTTTTACCATTCAAGCACTCCAGGCCTGAATCTGTGTGTTTGTCATCACCGGCTGTGACGGCTCGGGTGGGCAGGCTTGGTCCTCCCAGATTTACTGAGAAGCACTTTGTCCTGCCGAGCCACAGCAGCCTGCCGTATGGTGAAATACAAACTTTCCACGCCCATCCTGGTCTCACCTGGTTTCTCATTTCACAGAACTGCCCTAATGCTAAGATGGGGCAGCCTTGGCCACGTTCCTACTAGGGCAGAGTAGGTAGCAAGAGTCACCAGCCAGGTTCATTTCTTGGCTGTTTGTTGGATCCCAGCCCCGGGACTCTACCTCAGGCCTGTGAGCTATTTTTTTTCTCTGCACACATCTGTGAGAAGTTGCCGAACAAGACTGTTGTGCAAGCTCCCATAACTCAGTTGTCGCTCTCCCTCTTTCCAGGTGGACCCCTTGACCTCATGTCCTGCCGAGTCGTTGCTGCTGGCACCAGAGAGATGGCGGCGCTCATAGCTCAGGCCTTACAGACTATTAACTATGGACGGGACGATGAGAAGTGAGGCTCAGAAGCTGGAACTCAGCAGCTCCCTGGGAAAGAGCTGTCTCCGTGGTGAGGGCTCCACGACAAACGTCTGCTGCAGCTCTCGACGGGACTCGGTGCTTAGCTGATCTCTCTCTAATCTCATGTAGCCTTTTTCAGGTACAAGTTCGGAGCCAAACCCAGATCTCTTGTGAGGTGTGCGTGAGTCACGCAGTCTTGATTGTTTTTCCAGAACGTAAATCTCAGGTAGTAAAGCTTTAGAACTTGCTCCCAGGTCCTCCCCTGCCTGTGGTAATACAGAATGCAATAAATCAGGATTACAGAGTCCTGCTCTTTGTTCCCCTCCGGCCTCTGGTTCTCAGGCTTCCTGAATCCCCACACTGTGCAGGCAAGTTACTGACGTCACCCCAACCATGGCAACAATGAAAACATTTCCCCTAAATATCAGTCTCCTGATCTACAGGCTGAATTTAATTGTGCATATAGATCATCTTTAGCCATTTTTTTTAATACTGCCTTTAGCGGACCTTCAGGGAGTAAGTGTGCTGTATAAAATTAAAATGATATATAATAGAACCTATATTGAAGCCAACATGTATTGAAAGGGGAAAAAAATGAGAAGCTGAAAAACAATACTAAAAATTTTTTTTCATTTTGGTTTTTCAAGACAGGGTTTCTCTGTGTAGCTTTGGAGCCTATGCTGGAAACTCCCTCTGTAGACCAGGCTGGCCTCAGACTCACAGAGTCCACCTGCCTTTGCCTCCTGAGTGCTGGGATTAAAGGTGTGTACCACCACTGCCCAGCTCAATAATAAAATACTTTGTGACAAATATTTTTTTAATCTTTTAGGAGTTGCAACTTTTTAAACAATGGGGTTTGGTTTTGGTTTTTTTGGGGCTTTTTTTTTTTTTTTGGTTTGGTTTGTTTTTTGGTGTGGGGGGTGGGTACTGGGATAGGATTCAGGCCCTCCTGCACTTTAGACAGGCTTCCTACCACTGAGCTACATTGCAGCCCTAAGCACCAGAATTCTGGTTCTAAGCTAAGCTATGACTCTAGACTGTTGTGTGACTGTAGGCACAGCCCAGGTGTCTCTGAAATATCTGTAAAAAAAAAAAAAAGAAAAAGAAAAAAAAACCTCAGGGCAACCAAAACAAAAACCAAAAAAACTCAGGGCATTTTTCTGTCTTGTGAGCCTGCCAGTTCCAAACATGCCGTTCCGTAGCTGCCGTCAGGGGGAGAGATGATGCTTTCCTTTCATGCTAGAAAAGACCTTGTTCTTTTCTATCTGGTTGTTGTTGTTGTTGTTTTGTGAGACCTGGTTTTTCTGTGTTGCCCCGGCTGTCCTGGAACTCACTCTGTAGACCAGGCTGGCCTCAAACTCACAGGGATCTTCCTGCCTCTGCCTCCCGAGTGCTGGGATTAAAGTCACACGCAACCATGCCCAACACCTTGTTCTTAATTAGTGGGAAATTATTGTACTTCCCTTGTTTGACGCTAAAGTGAGCACTGTGCTTTTGTCAAGTTCTCTTTCTTTTTGAGGAGATTGTTACACGGGGTTGCACGGGCAAAAAGCAAAGCTCTCCATCCTTGGTCCTCCTGGGACAATCTCCCTGGTCTTTTCTAGTTCAGGCTACTAAATACTTCCAAACCCAGTTCAGCCATTTTGAGATGCCTTTTGGAATTTCTTTGCTTTTTTCCATCTGCAGATGCTGCTTTGTTTATCTGCGTGATTGTTTCATACATGTTCGTTCTGGTAGCACACTTTTTCCATAGGTGAATTGTTTTGTTTTGTTTTGTTTCTTTGAGACAGGATCTCATGAATCCCAGGCTGGCCCAGAACTTTCTACACAGCCAAGAATGGCCTTGAACTCCTGATCTCCAGCCTCCCACCTCCCCACTGCTGGGGTTACAGTCATTTGCCACCATGCCTGGCAATAAGATGTTTTCTGATTACCCTGGCAGGCTCAGCTTTGTGCCATTTCATTTTCTCAGCATATACTCAGAACAGCACCTAGAACATGTGCAGATACACAGGACATACCTCCCGACTCTTGACCGTGCATTGTGAGATGTAGTACTTAGTTAGGAAGATCTCCTGGGCTGAATGGTTATGGGGTGATCTTCAAATAAGTAACTGCAGGAACAGCCGCTCCTCAGGTCTTCAGAGCACTTAAGCTGTGTCTGCATCTCACTGACACTCAGTAACTGAGTCTAAACCAATTCTGAGCTGACATAATCCTATTGCTCCGAGAGAAACAGAGAGCTCTGGGGAACAGGGAAGCTGTGCTGGCTCACTTGCTTGTTTGCCCACTCACTTGCTCCTTAAGGGATCCGTTAAGAATGTAGCTGTCCAGATTCTTCTGTGGTGCTCCAAGTCAATAAAATCCCCACCCACCCTCCCACACGGGTCATTTTTATTTCTTTTCCACATAGCATTCATCTTCTCTGGTGGTCATCGAGTCCCGGCCTTCAGAATTCTCACTGGCTTCCACACACTTGCCCCTAACAGCATCTTTATTTCATCAGCTTTGAGGTAGCATCCTGTCCCAGCGGTTCTCCTCCCTGTGGGTGGCGATGACCCCTTTGGGGGACCGAATGGCTTTCACAGTTGGAAAACTCAGATATCTTCATTATGATTCATAACAGTAGCAAAATTGCAGTTATGAAATAGCAACAAAATAATTTTATGGTTGGGGGTCACCACAGCATGAGGAACTGTATTAAAGGGTCGCAGCGTTAGGAAGGTTGAGGGCCACTGCTCTCAAGGGTGCTTTGGGCCTGCCTTTTGTCAGCTAGCCAGATGATGAAAGCCCTGTCGTCCACAGCAGGGGTCGGTCGGGTGTGGGCCTGTGGTTTGGTTAGTGCCCCCTCAGGAAAGCCGCTGAACCTTCCTTTCCTAACCTGCCCTTACTGCAGAAGTGTCCATGGGCATCCTGAGAAACCATCAGGTGGATTTCTGGTTTTTGTTTGTTTGTTTTGTTTTTACTGAGTTTATCTCCAACTTTCCTCAAAAAGTACAACATGGTGTTCTGCACAACAGATTCTTCCCTGTGGTTCTCAACTAGTTATCACTGTGGTGTGCTGTTCTGTGATATTTTGATCGCACTGTTATGCTCCCGAGACTGCCAATAAAGTTTGCTTTGAATCAGAGGGCGGAGCTAGCTACTTGCTGACCAAAACTAATCATAGAGGTTTTGGAGGACTAAGGACAGAGAGGCATAGGAAGTAGGAGGGCGGGGCTTAGCAGAGAGTCTTGGCTTTTTTGAATTGGAGGGAGGGGCGACGTCATTTGTTTCTCCGCTGCTTTTTTGATCATTCAGGTTCTTACTCTGATACCTGACTCCTGAGATTTATTGATAAAGAGTAATTAGACAAACGCTTCAGTGTGCTGTGTCAGACGGATCAGGTTCTGCTTCATGAAGCAGAAAGGGAAACTGGTGAGGAACAGTGGCACAGTCTGTCCGGTTTTGTCAGTCTTGTCCGTTCTTTTAAAAACAATGCATAGCCGGGCAGCGGTGGAGCTTATCTTTAATCCCAGCACTGGGGAGGCAGAGGCAGGCGGATCTGTGAGTTCGAGGCCAGCCTGATATTCAGAGCTAGTTTCAGGATAACAAGGGCTGTTACACAAAGAAATCCTGTCTTGAAAAACGAAAATAATCCAAAGCTACAGAGAAACCCTGTCTCGGAAAAAAAAAAAAAGAAAGAAAGAAAATAATAATTATAATACATAAAATGTAAAAATTAATATTATGAGATACATGTCATATTTCAATGTATTTACATTATATAATGTTTAAATTCGTAAAGCATATTAGTGGTTTTCCATTTCTTTTATGAGAAAATATTCAAATGCTTTGTTGTAATACTTTAAAATGATAATGCTAACATTATATACAGGCACTTTACTGTGCACAGCTCTTTACTGATCTTTTGTTCTTGCTATTTAAACCACCTCCCACAATTCACTAGGATGGCTCACCTACTAGAGAAGCCAGAAATGCTCTTGTCAGGCTACCCTGAAACGTAGACAGGTTTTACCTGGTTGAAAAGCCATCTACAGAACCAGTGGTCGTAGCACACACCTCTGATTCCAGCACTCGGGAGGCAGCGGCTGGTGATTCCTTGTGAGTTGAAGGCCAACTTGATCTTCATAGTTCCAGGACAGCCAGCGCTACATCGCAAGACGTGTCTCAGAAGACCAAAACCAAAAAGTGAACAAATAAAATGGGGGGGTCTGCAGTACGCAGTACCCAAGCCGAGATGCAGGACAGATATCTCAGAGCCCATGAGGCCAGAGCAGTCACCACGGAGACTGCTCCTGAAGAGTACCTGAACCGGAGACTCACAGGAAGTATCTGCAGGAAAGTGGAGAAGAAGCTGGGGTAACTCAGCATGGGGAGACTTGAGATGCCACTTGACATGCCTTTGTTTCTACCTGTAACCGCCAATGTATAACAACCTCTCATGGGCCCATTCCCCCAGAGCCCACTGAGTGTAGATGCATGGTGCCCCGTGAGGCAACAGGCACAGGGTGGGAAAGCTACACAAGGACCAGCATGGAGGAGCCCACCAGGCTGCGTGGTGGCAGTGTGCGTGACCTTGGTACTGGGGTGGATTGGGTGAGAACCCAGAGCGGGTCTTCAGGTGGTGAGGAAGCAAGTGTGTAGGGTGGGAGGGGGAAACACTTTTAAGTGAGAAGCAGGAGCTCCCAGGTAGCAAGTCAGTGCCATTTAGGGAGACCGCTATCAGTGGTGATGGGTGTGTTCTCTCTGGCAGAAATACCAATACAGGAAGTGGGTTTGAGGCTCTCACGTGTCAGACTGAACAATGAAGTAAGATGGACCCCTGCCCTGTCTTAAGGTTTCTATTGCTATGAAGAGACACCGTGACAACCACAGCAACTCTTGTTAAGGAGAGCATTTAATTGGGTTGGCTCACTTATAGTTCAGAAGTTTAGTTATCATCATGGTGGGACATGGCAGCATGCAGGCTGATATGCTGGAGAAAGAGCTGGAATTCCTACATCTTGACCTTAGGCAACAGGAAGTGATCTGAGACACTTGAGTGGTATCTTGAGCATATATGAGACCTCAAAGCCCAACTCCGTAGGACACTTCCTCCAACAAAGCTACACTTCCTAATAGTGTCACTCCCTTGAGGGCCGTTTTCTTTCAAACCACCACAGGCCCCTTCAGGTTAACCCTGTTCTTTTGGTGGCATCATTATGCAGGGTCATTACACAAGGTCAACATTGGGAAAGCTGAATCGGTAAACTACTCCCTGGATGTTGGAGGAGAGAGATGTAAGGCTGTGGGTTGCTCTGGTCAAGTAGAGCATCTTCCAACCCTCCCCAGACGGCTATCAGCAGGAAGGAGCATGGCTTAGACTCAACAAAAGATACCCTTTTTCTCTCTGTCCAGCATCAGCTGGATCCTCTCTGCAGCCAGTTCTGGGGCTGTTCATTAAAACCAATCCAAAAAAGCCAGAATGGAACCAGGTGGTGTTGGCACCGGTCTTTAATCTCAGGAGGCAGAGGCAGGTGGATCTCTGTGAGGTCAGGGTCAGCCTGGTCTACAGAGAGTTTCAAGGCTGCATAAACCTTGTCTCAAAAAACGCAAAGCAAGGGTGGCTGGAGAGATGTCTCAGAGGTTAAAAGCATTGGCTGCTCTTCCAGAGGTCGTGAGTTCAACTCCCAGCAACTACATGGTGCCTCACAACCATCTGTAATGAGATCTGGTGCCCTCTTCTGGCATTCAGGCAAACATGTAGACAGAACACTATAATAAATAAAATTTTAAAAGTAACAAAAAAACAGCTCAGGATGGTGTGAAGCCATCTGCCTGCCTGGCTTCACTGCAACTGCCGGGTGTCCACATCTCCCTAGGACATTAGTGTGCCACAGCCTTTACCATCCTACCCCACCGTAGAGTATGTCTCAACAGGACATTAGTAACTGAGGGTCACATGGCACACAAACATGGAGTAGCAGTCTGGAACCAAGGATGTTTGTTTTTCGGTTTTCAACAAGGATTGACTTAAAGCCTTTAATAGGTACAGCTATTAAAGTGTATCTCCATGTAGTGTATGGGTTGTTTGTTTTGTTTTTCGAGACAGGGTTTGTCTGTGTAGCCCTGGCTATCCTGGAACTTACTCTGTAGACCAGGCTGACCTCACACAGAGATGTGCATACATTTGCCTCCAGAGTGGTGGGATTGAAGGCATGTGCCATCGCTGCCTGACTTGGGAGTTTGTTTTGTTTTTCATTTTTTCCATTTCATTTGACCTTCCAGAGATGGTAATGATACTAGCATTCATGGGGCAAGTTTACCATTGTTTAACCCTCTACGTGCTTTGGACTCATGTCTGTCTGCACACTGATTCCCTGGGAGGCAGAGGTTATGTCTGGACTGTACTGGGAAAACGACTCGTTACTAGTGGGCCAGGTCTGATCCAGGAGGGATCCTAAGTAGATGAGTCTGAAGAGGTTGCAGTCACATTAGGAACACCTAGAGACTGTGACAGGACAGACGGGCAGTTGATAGGGACTCCAGACCTGTGCTGTCTCTGTATGGGCCACTGGAAATGGGCTTGTCCAAAGATGTTGGGCCGGGTAGCATGGCAAGACACAGGGAGGGAGGGAGGGAGGGAGGGAGGGAGAGAGAGAGAGAGAGAGAGAGAGAGAGAGAGAGAGAGAGAGAGAGAGAGAGATTGACAGAGAGAGATTGACTGACTTTGCCTGGGGCGTTTAACTTTGTCCTGGCTGCGGTTGTCAGCTTTTTTCTTAGATTCTGTTTCATGGCAGCACTGAGGGAGGCAGGCGGGTTTTTAGGCCCTTTGGCAACCACCTAAACCAAACCAAACGGAGGGGTTGACCTTTGGGGTCAGCTTTCCCCGAGAGAAGCAGAGAAGCCAATTCAGTCTTAGGACCCCATGTCCTATAATGTTAGAGTAAATAGTAGCAAGCAGCTTCCAGCGCCTCTAGGGCCAGGTTGTCATGTCCCTACATGGTGCCACACTGTAACTTTTGGCGCGCCAAAGCTATGCTGGGATGGGGCGTTGGGAAGCAGCTTGTTGGCTTTTTCCTCGGTATTCACGGAGCTTCAAGGGGCAAGGTGATTCCTTATTGTTGGTTTTAGTAGATGCAACCTATTGTCCTTAATGCCGGTGGCCTAACTGGTAGTTTTGTCGAGAGCTCTTCATCCTAAGGGAAGCGCGCCCTCTGTTGTCCGTGATGGTGAACTGCACCACGCTCTCCAAACCACAGCTTCCTCTGGCATCCTAGACAGGGTGTTTGTGTGAGGAGGGTGAATGCCCCTGGAAGAAGGGAGATCATAGCAGCAGTGATCCCCTGTATCGCTGGGTACATAGAGACAGTTTTATGACAGATTACATGCCGTTT